ATTAATTGTAACAAAGGTATCTTAATGTAAAAGATGTTAAAAATAGGGGAAACTGAGTGTGAAGTATAGTTTGAGAATAGAAAATATTCTTTGAATTTGACTAGGAAGACTATCACTTGTGACCTTCAAGAGAATAGCATTGGAAAAGGGGAGGAAAGAAGGATGAAAGACAATAAAAAAAGATTAGAATGAGAATGAAAAAGAGGAAGTAGATGGAGCATTTATAGACTACCAATAATGAAAGGTTAACAGTTAAATGAGAGGTATTGCTGCTTTTCAATAACTCTGTAAATCTAAAACTGTTCTAAAAATTGAAAGTTTATTTTTCCAAAAAAAAGATAGCGTAAGCAAAGACTGCCTTGCCTAACACACACGCCCATTGTTTCTAAGGTGACTGAACAGGGTAAAGGAATCTTTGGTGCAGAATATGTATTAGATATGTGGGAGGGGGAGGGAGTCATGGCTCCACAGAATCTCTAGGAGGCTGTGAAGAACATATCTAGGTAGGCATCTAAAACCAATGTTGGTACTTTAAGATAAGACAATAATGACTCCTGAAGAACTCAAACAAACAAAAAAAACCCTACAGATTTGAGGCCATTGCCAAATTGTCTTGGGGACATATAAGATTTAACCTATACCCAGATATCACCTTGGCAATGAGAACATTCACAGGATGCTTTAGACTGCAACTTAGGAAATTGTATCTTGACTAGCTTAAACAATGAAAAAATAATTTTATCTCATTCTGACAAGTATCAGTATTCTACCCTGTCATTTTCAGTGCCACATCTATCTGTTAGCTAACCCTCCTGGCCCTCTGGCACTTCAATTTCAGTTACCACATGCAGATGCAACATCTGGCAGAGAAGTAGAGACCACCTCTTCAAGTGTGACTCTTTTGAAGAATACTGATCAGGTATATCATAGAATGTCCTTCATTATGGGTTCATCTGATGCTTTCTCATGATTAGACTGGGAATTTTAGGTTTCTGGAAAGAATGTCACAGAGGTACATGTGTGACTCTTTTAAGGACCAAGGAATCTTTACCCAGATTTCCTCATAACTCACTGGCCAAATCATAAGTCCCTTCCTAAACTAATCACAAGGATCAATCAGGAATCACAGGGCAAAAGGTATACACAGAACAAATTAAGGCTTGTCCGCAAATGTGAAAGGCGTATAAACAGCTACTGAGTAAGCCACCACCAGGGTCTACTATGGGTAAAAATCCTGAAAGGCAAGACTTTACTCAGCGAAGATAAAGTTAACATTAATGAGCCTGTTTCAAAAAGGAAGAGACACATTTAACTGTCAAGTTTACTTCTCCACCCCCCACCCACAGAGATGAAGCAATCAAAGGCTTTTAGGTCAGTTACAGAAAATCAGACGCTCCAGGGTTTGCTTTTTTCTCCACAATATGATTTGTAGTGTCAAGTTTGCTACTTTCACATATATGTGATCTCAGATCTGCACAATACTATTAAGTAGGTACTATGAATCCCATTTTACAGTTGAGGAAACAGGCTCAAAGTGCTTAGCTGGAAACTGAGCTATACCTCTAACCTATATCTGGAGACTTTAAATCTTTGAGGGCTTTTTAATCTACTGTTTACTTCTCCAGATATCAAGGGAGTGGCAGCAACAAAGGAAACATCTCTGAAACACAAATTCTAAGTATAGCTCATCTAGACCAAGACTCTCCTTTCTCTTAAACATCTCAGAGCCTTGTCATTGACCTCAAGGATAGCTATTCATAAGCACCTCAAAAAAGATGTCATAGCTAGCTCAAAATATGGAATTGGCATATAAATAAGAGATACAGATTTGTGACTCAGATGCAAAGCATATTAGTCAAATGCTCACATGGAAACAATTAGTCCAAGGGACTAACGGACAGCCCGAACCTCTGCCTATATGACCATGAAACAAGAAATAGATGGTGCCCAGCTACCACTCAGAAAGGGATCAAATTGGAAATCCTGGACAGAGTGGAGAAAAACATGGAACAAAATTAAAAATCATAAAAAAAGACCAGGCTTACTGGTCTGATAGAGTGGTGAAACCCCTGAGACTACGGCCCCTAATCACCCTTTAGACCTGGAATTGAATTTATTCCCATGGCTTCCAGCCAAACAACAGACAGGCATACAAAGTGTACATTTGTAACAAGTAGGTACACTCCTTAGAACAATCAATCATGGGAGATGAGAATGGCAGTATTTGCACAGGAAGATAGCTCAGAGGGCAGGAATATACAGGAAAGGAGGACACAGGCAAAAGGTAACCCAAAAAAGGAGTGCGAAGAGAGTTGTTACATTATGGGGATTGCAATTAATGTCATGAAACAAAATGTGTATGAACTGCTGCATGGAAAATGAATTTGCTCTGTAAACTTTAAAATCACAATTTTAAAAAAAGAGCATATTAGTAAAATGCTTAAAAGTAGTTAAGATATACAGGACAGCATTTCCCAAACTGTTGTGTTTTGCTATATTCTTTGGTACCACGATAACAAGTGGACCATAAAGCTCTTAAAATAAAAAAAAAAATAAAGAGTATTACTGTGATTTAAAAAAGTGGGGGAGGGCCATAAAAACAGTAATCTAAGCCCAAATAAACTGTGAAAGACAGGAGTCAATCTGATGGTAATGGGTTTGGGTTCAACAAAATTAAACAGGCTTCTTTAATAATGGATTTTTTAGAGCCTTTATACTCTATCAGGGATTATGAACTCCAAATGGAGAATATTCTACTTAACATTTTCCTTCAAAAAGGTTTTCATTTTTCTCCAGACTACCTCTGAACGTTTGCTCAAATTGTATTCTGAGAAGTATTGCAGTAAGGGGGAAAACAAAAGTCTGAGAATAGTGTCTATTATTAGATAGTAGGAAGGGGGGAAAATCCAACAAAGAAGATAATGAAGAAAATAGAGAACATGGAGAATTATTACAGAAGCAAGACAGGTAACAGAGACAATCAACAGGACCAAACTACAGAGAGATTAAACAGTTTAAGAAAATAAAATATTCTTTGAATTTGACTAGGAAGACTATCACTTGTGACCTTCAAGAGAAGAACATTGGAAAAGGGGAGGAAAGAAGGATGAAAGACAATAAAAAAAGATTAGAATGAGAAGGAAAAAGAGGAAGTAGATGGAGCATTTATAGACTACCAATAATGAGAGGTTAGCAGTTAAAGCATAAAAAAAAAATCAGATGATTGAGAGAAGAACATGTAGAGGAATTTAAAATTTTTAGAACACAGGACATTCATACAAGGTTGAAGTTAAAAGTGAAACCTATTGGAAGAGATTGATAATAACAGTCCAGTGGAGAAAAGAAATGGAATCCAGAATATGAATTATTAGAAAAGACTTCTTTCCTTTGAGATCAGAGAGAAGATTTTGAATAATAATGCCTGACCATTCCAAGTAGGCACCCACACCAAACCCAATCATGATCCTGGCAGATAAAATCACCAAATGTGATTAAGCTACAGAGAATTTACTAAAGGGGCTATTTACAGAGATAGGTACCAAACAAAACAGAACAAACTTATTTTTGTTGACTCCAACTCATGGTGACCCTACAGGACAGAGCAGAACTGTCTCACAGTTTCCAAGGCTGTAAATCTTTACGGACAAAGACTGCCACATCTTTCTTCCGTGGAGGGGCTGGTGGTTTAAACCGCCAAGTATGAAGATCTCATTTTAATACTCCAAAATTTCATGGACTTTTGCCTACTCCTATGCAGTGTTTTGTGGTCTTCAGGGCTCAGAGTGTAATATACACAAATCTACTGATTCCTGTTCCTGCTTAGAAGATGTCTACATTGTGAAGAGAAGGGAGAGAGGGAAGCACTTACCTCAGGGCCACAGTCTTGATGAAATGATATGCAAGGTAAAGCTGATGACAATAGGGAAGTAGGAAGCTCATGGAAATTTTAATTTATAATGATTTATTATAAATGATTCTAATATAATAGGCAAGATACATTAAAAAAAATACCTTGTAATTATAATAGCACAAAAAACAATACAAAGATATCCAAAGAGGGGCAGAAATTTTCACAACTTTGCCATACCAAAAGAAGTTGCAAAAGTTAAAACTACTAATATATCTCCAAATATACTGGTGAAAACAAAAGTTATTTACTAGCAGGTGTGGTTATAAATCCAGCTTTAGATTTCTTAAATTTAAAAGTCTGTATGGCTTTCCATCTGCATAAAACACCAAATTTAATAGTTACTTAAGCATACAAAATTTCATTGTTATGAAGTCACTGACATGAGATTCTATTGCTTAGAAAATATTTTTAGACCCTATTTGGCTAATTTTGTTAACAATATAAATTGAGTACATAATTATGGATTAACTATGTCCAAGTCACATGTGTGGCTCACAAATGGCTCCAAGGCCCACCTATCATTAACATTTTTATCACAAATAGGCAGTAATATCTGATTCTTTAATTACTTAACACATCACCCTATAGATACTTAAGAAAAGACATATTATTTAAAAACTGTAAGGTGACCATCATGATCACCATAATAATTAAGCTCCATTCTTTAAATAACGAAATTAATATTGATCAGTGTGCACGGAATAAAGATGAGGCAACAAATCTCACACCAAACCTGGCAGTCTCCAGATTTCTGTGTTTGTGAACGCAAAGCGGCTACTTAGGCCAGAGACTACTACTGCCAGCTCAGCAGTTCAGTTTGGAGAAAAGGCGGCATCCACACAGACTTCACTCTTGAGAATAAGAATTTACAGCCAGGTTCGTGTGGCAGGGACTGAAATGATGGAAAAGGATGGCAGAGATAAAATGGGAAGAGAAAGACAGAAACAGGGTTGTTGGGGATAAGGGGATCCCTCCAGGACTGCAATCCTAGAAAGGATTAAAGCCACCGCTCGGAGGCTAACTCGCCCACTTCCCGGCCTGAAAGAAACTAGCGGGTTATGGGGGCTAAGGGAAAAGAGCTCATCCTTACCTTGTCATCCTCGCATCTTTTTCCCAGGCCCTCTCTGGCCTGCAGCCGGCTGCTGAGGCGGCCGTAATCGGCCTCCTTCTGGTCGATCTGTTTCTTGTGCGAGTCTACCAAGAGCAGGAGGTCGGAATTACGCTTTTCCAGGCGTCCGCGGGCCACCTCGGTGCGTTGGACCTGGCCCTGCAGCTCAGCCACCTCCTCCTGAAGCAGGACGTGGCGGGAGGAGATGCTCCAGTAATTGAAAGCGAGGATGGCGATCACCACCAGCAGCACCACCAGCACGAGGGAGGGCAGGCGGCCAGCCCGCCGGTTAGCCCCGAACCCCACCATGGGGCCGAACCTGGCTGTGCCGCGGGACCTCGCTGTCGACACCTGCAGACAGAAACTCAGGCCTCGACTGCTGAGCTGCCCCGGGGACGCGGCCCCAAGGCCGGACGGAGAAGGAGGCTGCCTGATTCGCCCGCGGGCGAACTGGAGAAGGGGGCGGGGCCGCAAGCCGCAGGCCCCTCCCCGCCCCCCCTCCACAAAACAGGCCAAAGCGAGTTCTGGAGGTTTTGAACCCGACCTTGCACCCACGGGCTGGAACCAAGAAAACCCAGCAGCCAGTACCCCAAACCCAACACCTCGGAGTTGGGGGCGGGGAAAAAAGCCGGAAGGGGGTGGATTTACAACTGGCCCCGCCTACTGGTTGGGTCTGGGTCACCCAGGGGGCCATTTCCTAGTTTCCGCCGACGCCCCCTCTTCTCGCGAGAAGGTGGGCTTTCTCTCGCTTCTTGGGGCCTTATCTCGCGATGTTATCCCTGTTGGGGAGGATGCTGGGTTAAGTTTGGTGCTGGTGAGTGGCTCTGGTACCTGGGCCAGGGTCCCTTTAGGTCTTACCTGCTTGATTTCCTTGATCCGAGATCTAGTTCCTGTCTTGCTCTCTCCTTCGTGAGAGTTTTTGTATTTGAGGCTATCTGGGACTACGACCTCTTTGTAGGAGAAACAGTCGTTGAGCTGAGGCCAAGGGGGCGACTAGAGAGGTTTTGTACTTGCCTCAGTGGAAGGGGTTTTCCTCGTTTCTGCTAACGACGTGGGGGGTAACGGTGAGCGAGAGTGAAACTACACTATAGCGGTGCCCCAAACATAACAGAAAAACAGGAGAAAGCTTTATAGCTGAAAAAGTAGTGGCAGTCTGGTTTCCAAGGTTACTGCTTTCACGAATGGAAAGAACTTCTGAATCTGGTGAGCGAGCTCTGTTCTTAAACGTGCTGCTGCTTGAGCGGGGCTTCCAAATAGAAAGTCTAGAAGGTGCCCTCAATGAGCGATAAGTAGTAATGTACTGTTAGGGACAGTGAGCCTATTCTGAGCTAGAAAACAAATCCACTGCCGTGTTGTTGATTCCGATTCATAGTGACTCTGGGACAAAATAGAACTGCCCCATAGGGTTTCTGAGGCAGTATGTACTTCTTTACAGAAGTAGACAGCCACGTATTTCTCCTGAAGAGCGCGCCTTTTGGTTAACAGCCAAGCTCTGTAACCACTGCACCAGTGAGGTCTCCTTAGAATGATGTTGTGTTGTTATGTGCCGTCTAGTCGGACTGGACTCATAGCGACCCCTCCTTGGGTTTCTGAGGCAGTATCACTACGGAAGTAGATTGCCCAGCCTTCTTTCCTCAAAATTGGTTTTGAGTACCTGTTCTCATTATCCTTTAAACAACACAGTTCTACAACAAAGAATCCAAGGCGCAGATATGTTTGGAAACTCTCAAAGCCTCCATATCCTGTCTGAGGCAAAGTTAGGATTGGGTCCAGATACTTGGGCTTTAAAACCTTTGTTTTCTGCATTATACCTATACATATACAAATGTTGCTATGTGTTCAGCATTAACTATAGTTATGCAGAGCAAGTCCCATCTCTTGTTTACATTATTTCTTCTGGGCATTAAAAATAGTTACTAGCTCTCACCTGTTTAAGAAGAAAATGGAGTTGTTTCATTTTTCAGACCTCAAGTTCAAGAATTTGCATGAGTATAAAACCTTAAGAAAGCAAAAATTTGGTATTTCTATTTAAACCAAAGTCGTATGATTTCAAGCAGGAGACTTGTGATATTTGAAGCTTCCTGGCCATTTCAAAAATAAAGTTAATTGCCTAATGGTCCTAAAGTAGCCTGAAAGAATTATTTCATGTTCAGAGAGCAGTTGTTTTTCTCTGACAGATACTATACAGCAAAATTAAAACCACCGAACTAGCTCTTTGCCACCACTCAGATGACAAGCTGACTTTGTAATAGGACCAAAATGCACAGGTACTATAAGGAGCCTTCTCATTTCTCCTTTCCTCAACTTCATATCATCCTTGCTCTGCTGAGCCTGTCGTTGAATATTATTTTGTAAAGTGATAACTGCTTCAAATATTACTCTTCCCAAAAGTGCTTTCATCTTTAAATGGGATTATGACAGAGCTAAAAGAGTAATATTGTACAAAACACATACACATACATTTTCTCATTAGATGCTTAAAAGAACTCTTATATTACCATTATCCCATTTTACAGATGCAAAAGTAACTTGCCGAAGTCATACATCTAGTTAGTAACAGGATGAAGCATAAAGGCCAATCTTCTTTCTGCCTTTCTCCCAGGGGGTTAAAAAAAAAAAAAATCAAGCCATCTCTCCCTACCAATGAGCCCAATCCAGATATTATCAAAACAATATAAAAGAACTCTGGTTCCGGGTTAAATATTACATTAAAGTAAAATTCAAATTCATGAGTCAAATGATCAAGATTAAACATCAATAGTCGTGTTGATAGTAAGTATGTGACACTTTGTGGTCTTCTCAGAAATTTATAATCCCATTCTAATCCTGACAAAAAGACAAATCCCAATTGAGGGCACAAAATATCTGACCAGTACTCTTCAAAACTGTCAAGGCCATCAAAAACAAGGAAAATCTGAAAACTTTCACAGTGAAAAGAATCCTAAGTAGACTTGACAACTAAATATAATGGCTCCTGGAACAGAAAAACATTAGGCGAAAACTAAGGAAATCAGAATGGCTTTAGTTAATAACAAAGTATTAATACTTGTTCATTGATTATGACAAATGTAATGTACTAAAGTAGGTACGTTAGGAGAGTGGGTATAGGGTATATAGGAACTTGTTGTTATGTGCCGTCAAGTCAGACTAGCTTCACAATATGCAGGTCTAAAACTATTCTAAAATAAAATTTTATTTTCAAGAAAAGTCAATTCCTATCTTTTGGAACTTATTAATTTTAGATATCAACTGTAGGTATAAATATAACTGGAAAGACAATATAACCACAGGTAAGTAGTATGACCCACCAGCCACTCCTCGGAAAAAGGGTTGGGCAATCTACTTCTGTAGTGATAACTGCCTCACAAACCCAAGGAGTGGTTGCTATGAGTCAGGTCCAACTCGACGGCACATAACAACAACAACAAGTAGTATTTTAAGATTTATGTGGGGAATAAGCATCTGTAGAGTGGCAAGTAAGGTTGGATCGAAAATTTTATGTTTGTATACAGTCTTGTTTAAAGGCAAAAATTATGTCATTTGTTTCTCTTGTACAATCCTAACCCTTTTCTGGCCCAAAACACCATTTGGCACATATTTTTTTAATATATGTTGATTTATAAAAAGTTCGGCATGCTGGACTTGGGTAGAGGGGTGAATTATTTTATAGTTTATTCCCCAATATTTAGAACCTAGGTTCTAAATTTGCAAGTTCGTAAGTTCATGTTGAAGTTGATCATTAAAACAAGTCTACGAGAGCCAAAATATGACCTTGAGTTTGTCCCTCCTGAATTTTGAGACCATCTAAAGCATAGAGATGATACATTGAACACCAGTAACCGAAAACCAGAGGAATTGTGGGATGACATCAAGAACATCATCCATAAAGAAAGCAGAAGGTCATTAAAAAAACAGGAAAGAAAGAAAAGACCAAAATGGATATCAGAAGAGACTCTGAAACTTATCCTTGAGCAAAGAGTAGCTAAACCAAATGGAAGAAATGGCAAGATAAAAGAGCTGAACAGAAGATTTCAAAGAACAGCTCAAGAAGACAAAGTCAATTATTACAATGAAATGTGCAAAGACATGGAGTTGGGAGCTAAAAGAGAAGAACATGCTCAGCATTTTTCAAGCTAAAAGAACTGAAGAAAAAATTTAAGCCTCAAGTTGTCCTATTGAAAGCTTCTATGGGCAGTATATTGAATGATGCAGGAAACATCAAAAGAAGATGCAAAGAATACACAGTCACTATACCAAAAAGAATTGGTCGATGTTCATCCATTTCAGGAAGTGGCATATGATCAAGAACCAATGGAATTGAAGGAAGAGGTTGAAGCTGCACTGAAGGAAGTGGTGTGAAACAAGGCTCTAGGAATTGACAAATACCCATTGAGATGTTTCAACAAACAGATGCCACACTGGAGACACTCATTCGGCTGGGCCAAGAGATTTGGAAGATAGCTACCTGGCCAGCTGACTGGAAGAGATCCATATTTGTACCCATTCCAAAGAAAGGTGGTCCTACAGAATGTGGAAATTATTGAACAATATCATAAATATCGCACACAAGTAAAATCTTACTGAAGATAATTAACAACAACAACAAAAAAAAAAGGTTGCAGCAGTATATTGACATAGAACTTCCAGAAATGCAAGCTGGATTCAGAAGAGGACATGGAATGAGGAATGTCATTGCTAATGTCAGATGATCTTGGCGCAAAGCAAAGAATACCAGAAAGATGTTTACTTGTGTTTTATTGACTATGCAAAAGCATTCAATTGTATGGATCATAACAGATTATGGATAACATTGAGAAGAATGGGAATTCCAGAACACTTAATTATACTCGTGAGGAATTTGTACATAGACCAGGAAGCTGTTGTTCAAACAGAAGAAAGGAACACTTCATGGTTTAAAATCAAGAAGGGAATGCATCAGGGTTGTATCCTTTCACCATACTTATTCAATCTATATGCTGAGCAAATAATCCGAGAAGCTGGACTATGTGAAGAAGAACATGGCATCAGGATTAGAGGAAGACTCATTAACAATCTGTGTTCTGCAGAGGACACCACTTTGCTCACTGAACGTGAAGATGACTTGAAGCACCGATGAAGATTGAAGACTAAAGTCTGCATTATGGATTGCACCTCAATATAAAGAAAACAAAAACCTTCACAACTGGACCAATAAGTAGCATCACGATAAATGGAGAAAAGATTGAAGTTGTCAAAAACTTCGTATTACTTAGCTTTACAATCAACACCAATGGAAGCAGCAGTCAGGATATCAGATGTCATATAGCATTGGGCAAGTCTTCTGCAAAAGACCTCTTTCAAGTGCTGAAGAGCAAAGATGTCTCCTTGAAGACT